TCAGTAGTACAAGTGTATCGGACGCACCTCTCAGTAGTACAAGTATATCTGCCGAACCTCTCAGTAGTGCAACTGTATGTGGCAAACCACTTAGTAGTACAATTGTAATGGCGTCACAACTCAGTAGTACAACTATATTCGCCGCACCTCTCAGTAGTACAACTGTATCAGTCGGACCTCCCAGTAGTTCAACTGTATCAGGTGAACCACTCAGTAGTACATCTCTACAAGCCGCACCCTTTATTAGTACAAGTGGACTAGGTGCTAGTGTTACAACACCAACCATTTCTATTGCTACCAGTACAAAGTCTTGGATTACCGAATTGTCAAAAGGTAATGATAGTTAAATTTTTATTCTTTATCTTTATAATATTTTGGAAAAGAATTTGATAAATTAAAATAATTTTATTGACCAAAGCAAAGATCGAGACCCTAAAATTAATTCCTATTTTTAGAGTTTAAGCATTGTGTATATTTAGGTTGTGGGTATGGGACCTTTGACAAGTACTTTTTTGAATGAAAAGACAAAAATAATCTAGTTAATAAAGTAATGTTAGTTAGTAAAGTACTTTTTTGCAGTTATTTAATTTTGCAAATTGAAATAAAATCTATATCAAAACGAAATCGGTTTAAAAAGCCAGTGAAGTATATTAAGGAAAAAGAAATATAAGATAAGTAAATTCTCATATATAAGTTCGATAGAAAGTTTTTTTAAACTTTAAGAAATTGTTTGAGTTTTCTTGTTTCTGTTTTGTCTATCTATCTTCTTCTGAATCACTGAGAGACATTACTGGTGTAGATTGTCTAGTCTATGTAGCAGCCCAAAAAGGATGGGGTAGGGATGGCGGGGGGTGGCTGAAGAGGACATTCCCCCTAGTCCCAATCTCCACATCCCCCGCACCCCTATCCCTTTTGAGCCGCTACTCAGGCTAAAATTGTTAGTCAAATAAAACTCTTGTTGGAGTGAATTTAGTCAAACTGTTGAATAGTTGACGTCAATTTGGAGAACTCATTTACTATTTTAGGCGGACTAACATAAATTTRAATCTACGAGTAAACGGCTGCTAATTGAGAATACCATCGTCTATTTGTTCACTCATTCTCTGCTAATGTAAACCCGTTAAAGTTTCAAAGACTTGCGTCATCATTCTATAACCTCGTATACGATTGGTTCGTAGACTGTAAATACACAGGCAAATCAATGGCAAATGCTACAGTAAGACGGTACTACTACTTTCATTGCCGAGAACAGTTAATTTCTTACAAAGCAGCACGGCTTGATCAAAAGCTATCAAGATTAAGGAAAGTAAGTCTGTATATTTATCTATCTCCCTAGTGATAGTCAATACATAATGAGGCATCATTATAATTTGACGTAGCCGCAAATGTAAAAATACATTTTTCTATATTTTCTAAGTGTAATGAGTTTATCATTAACATGCAGTATAGAATACAAAACTGTTTGAATTTTGCTAAATTTTCCGCATAGAGGACATGCCATACAAGCTTTCCAGTACCTGAGTACTGACAGGTTAAAAATAGCGTCACCTATTTCTTGGAAAACCCTTATCTGAGAACTAGTGAAATATCTGCATTTTTTTCTAGCATGCCACTAGACGTGCGCAAAGACGCGGAGCAATGATGGAGAAAGAAAATTAATGTTGCAGAAATTCAGGAGAATCATTCAAATATGAACCGCTTATCCATCTTCTCGTCGTTGATGGCCATTGTCTTTATTAATAGTTCCTCGTTTAGAGGTAAGTCTCTCGAAGATAGTTTTTATTTCTCCTGTTCACTGTTTTTAAAGCCGATGTTTGCTATTTCAAAACGAAACCGATTCTCCAGCATTTACTAAAAGGAAACTTAAGTTCGAACTTGAATACGACTTCGTTGTTACATGTAAAGCTTTCTGCATTAATGCAAATAGTGTTTAGACGGCGGTAGTCTAGGTGTTAGAAGCTCCATTTACGGCTTTCTACCTAACCACAAGGTCAGTAAAAGTAATCACTCTTCCGTACAAATTAGATTTAAAGCGGCCTGTACGACGAAGTAGTTGCTAGATATTCGCTCATTGTTTTCCAACGAAACATTTTAAAGGTAGCGCTCGATTTTAAAATTCATCATAGTTGACATATTTAAAGAATCCGCCACTTTTTTCTTTATTTAATATGATATTTCGAGCAAAGACTTGAATTTACTCAAATTAAAATCGCGTTGTTTTCAGTGAAAATCGACAAAAAATAGTCCTTCCGCTAAACTGACGAAAACCGCGCAACGAAAACGATACATTGAAAAATGTGTCCTTTGATAAAAGTGAATTTTCGATAAATATCCCTAACTAAATTATACTATCCTAACTTATCTAAAACATAATTATCAATTGTTCAGTAAATTTAGATAATTTATACATTTATTAGAAATCTTATGATTTTTTTTTATTTTTAAAAAACTATAAAAATTCACTGATATTCAGTCTTTGCTTGAATTCCGAAAAATTTAGTTAATTTCATGTTACGAAGTTTGAATAATCTTTTATGCATTAAAAATCAAGATTCTTTACGGAAACTATCCAAAATATTATTTTAAAGGTTTAGGATCTCGTGTCATGATATGAAAACTCAGCAGAGTGAGATATTTGTTTGATAATTCGACAGAAACATGATTCCCACTGATTTTTCTCAACACCTTGAAATCAACGAGATGAATTTGAATTTTTGAGTTCAAGATGAAAAATATTTCAAAATTATTTCGGAAAAATGGTTTTTCAGCCTTTGTTTGAGGAAGGGCGCCTATACGTTGTTTCCTTCTATATTGTTTACCATAGGTGTGGTGAAAAGAATTGTTGTTTCCAAGTTCCACCTGTTCTATATGAAATATCTTTTTTTATTTTACAATGAATTATGAATTTTAGAATTATCATTTCAATCCACAATTCAACTTTCTCGGCGCAAATATTTTGAAAGTCAACCATGTCGACGACAAGTCTACACATGGACTTAGTCTGTATGTAAATTTGTTGAAAATGTCAAATGTCGTGAATGGATCCAGTTACAATATGTTAAAATTTATAGTCAGTACTTGAAACTTAATAACATGTCTTTCATATTGTCTTTGTTAAGATAATAGCAACCTTTAGATCCGACAACGACGACGAGTTTTAAAATTGGCCCTGCGCGCGTGGTTAACACTGAATCATGGTGGATTTCCGATCTTTTACAATTTAAAGTTTCATTCTACGTACACGACTACGAATACGAAATGACAGTGCCAATCTTGAAAAGTTAGAAACTTGTACTCGTACTCGTTCTCTTACTCGTTGTCGGATCTAAAGGTCTCTAATATCTTGGTCACGCAAGGCACCCAATTTTTTGTGCATAGAGACGTATAGTCATAGAAAACTAGTATATCTTTTCCTACCAAATCACTAAATTCTTGGAAACTGTGCTCAAATGCACGCATGCGCAAACTTTGTCATCTACAAAAATATCAATCTCGTACCCAGAGCCTTTATTTTTTACTGCGTATGCTCGACGAAATAATAGGCTGGAAAACTCCAATAACCGGAAGCCAGATTCTGGCTATTTCGCACATGGGCATTATCAGATATCAATCGGAAGTAAAGCACTACCAACTGACAAAAACAAAATGGCGGACTGTCATGTACTGAGGCCGTTATGCATGCCCGTTGCTCTCAATGAAATGAGCTTTGAAGATAGATAAGATCATAGAGAAACAATACGGAGCCATTATTTATATAGTTAGGCTAAAACGATTCTTTTATTGGGTTTGTCAACTGTATACGGCAAATCGTAAGTGTATAATTGCTCGCCAACCCTTGCTGAAACAGTGTGCAAAAGGGATGATGTGAAAGTAAAGTAAGGAGGCCGTGGACAACTTATCTACTCAAGTCGCTGCCGACAAGTTTCAACTTAACTAGACCAAGTGTAAGGAACTTCGTATAAATTTCAGCAAATCCGAAGCAGCCTTCAGCCCAATAAAGGTTAATGATAGGGAGCTAGAATTAGTTTCTGAAGCAAAACTTTTAGGTCTTACTATATCTAATGTAATCAAGAAAGTCAATAATAGATTATACTTTCTTGGGCAGCTCAAACGTGCACATCTTAAGTCAAATGCCCGGGGTATGCCCGGGGGGGAGTGGGAGCCTTTGGAACTGACACATACATAATACTTACACTTTTACCTGCAAGTAGCTTAAAGCTATTCTAGACAGGTTAAAAGGAAAGACAAANCCCCTATCCCTTTTGGGCCGCTACTCAGGCTATAAATTGTTAGTCAAATGAAACTCATGTTGGAGTGAATTTCGTCAAACTGTTGAATGGTTGACGTCACTTAATTTGGAGAAGTTATTTACTATTTTAGGCGGACTAACATAAATTTGAATCTACGAGTAAACGGTTGCTAATTGAGAATACCATCGCCTATTTCTTCACTCATTCTCTGGTAATGTAATGCCGTTAAAGTTTCAAACACTTGCGTCATCAATTTATATAACCTCTTATACGATTGGTTCGTAGACTGTAAATACAAAGGCAAATCAATGGCAAATGCGATAGTTAGACAATACTACTACTGCCGAGAACAATTAAGAGGCTGTCTCTGTAAGAACCTCATAACCATTCTGGGTGAAAAAATAGATTTCTTTCAAACTTTCAGTGTGTGAGTATGCCCTTCCAAGGTTATTTCCAAAACACATTTTGTTTTGTGTCTCTGCGCTTTTTTGCAAAGTTTTAGGGAGGGTCCCCTAGGGGGCCAAATTAGTGATTTTGACTACTTCTCATTCATGAAATTTGGGCGATGTTTAAAAATTCGTAAATCCATAACAAATCATCACAACACTAAGTCCTTCCATAATATAGTAGATATATATCTTATGCAAAGATGGGTAGCCTTAAAGTTATATATAAACTTATTTATATCTAGATATTTTAATTTTACCGACCATCGATAATCGACTTTGGCCAGTTGGCTAAAATATGGCTTAGGAAAAATAAATCAAAACTCAAAAGTTAGACATCGTAGGACTATCAATATTTGATTACTGCAGAGATAAACGGTAGTTCTTACAGAAATTGAAATAACATTTTGCGGCCAGCAGGTTTTGAGAAGTGAAAAATCCCAAAATGGTTATGAGGTTCTTACAGAGACAGCCTCTTAATTTCTTACAAAGCAGCCAGGCTCGATCAATGGCCATCAAGATTAAGGAACGCGAAGGGCTCCAGGTCGCTTACGTAACGCCTGGTCCAAACACAATACACTAGAAAATCAAGTCTGTATTTCCATACATCTCCCTAGCGACAGTCAATACATAATAAGGCGTCATTATAATATTACATAGCCCCACCCTGATCGTGATGTTTTGAAAGTTCTCAAATTGGACTCGCCTAAAGGCTCAAAAAACTTTCAAGGATGACATCACTCAAACCTATAAACTCCGAATTGTGCTCGAGATCGTACGATTTCCTATACTAATGAGTTTATCATTAACAAGCACGACAGGATACAAAACTGTTTTTCAGGACTGACAGGTCAAAGGGAGAATAATTAACGTATAATAGCGTCACCTTTTTCTTGGAAAAATCTTTTCTGAGAACTAGTAAAATATCTGCATTTTTGGAACACGCCATTTGTGCAAATACTAGTCGTGTGTAAAGACGCGGAGAAATGATGCAGAAAGAAAATTGCAATTAATGTTGCAGAAATTCAGTTGAATCATTCAAAACTAGACGCCCTTATTGGCGTTTACTCGGGCTACCTATGTCGAAAACAAAGAAGGTGAGAAAGTAGTAGAAGTGTGAAAGTAAAGGAGCGCAATCGGAGAGGATGTGTTTATGTTGGTCAACCCCGAAAAAATGAGAGGGTCTCGCGGGAACCGTTGTTGCCAGGCGGTTTGCTT